TGGCACACTGAATCTTCTACCGGAACATGGTCATGGGGCATGGGCCCTACTGCGAGGAGGGAGAGGGAGGTGGGGGGCAGGGAGAGGGAGGGGGAGAGGAGGAGGGGGGGGGGGAGGGGGAGGGGTACGGGGGGGGAGGGGGAGAGGTCAAGAAGAGCAAGGGCGAGAGAGGGCAAGGGACTGGGCGCTGGCATACCAGGGGGGGCAGGGTGATGGGCGGCGACCGCCGCATACCGTCCTACGGCGGGGATTATCGCTACGCCAGGGAAGACAAGGGCGTCGAAGTGCAGCTGCTGCTGTTCGAATCGTTCGGCGGGTTCGGAAAGGGGGTCCGTGAGATCCTCCGGAGGGCGGCGGACGTGCTACAGAACAAGCTGACGCGGGCCCAGTACCTCGATGAGGTGACTTGGACCACCAAGAGCTGGCTGGGGCTGCAGAAGCAGCGCATCTCAGTCATTCTTCACACGGCCATCGCAGAGCAGGTCGTGAATGAGCTTGCCTGTGGCGGGGGTGGGCGGGTGCACGGAGCTAAGTGCCTCGCCACCCTCGCAGGAGTCGCTTTAGGCGGCTCCCGTGGTGTACCTGTGTTAGTGCCAGTGCGCGCCAGTCCCGTGCCCAGTGTTGTGCGAGCGAGTTTTGTTGTAAAATTCTTTCCCCCCGCGTGCCCCCGCAACCTCTCGTTTCCTTGGAAATCCGTATCTTCAATCCCAGCCCGGCACGAAAAACGACTCTGCTCAACGACACCAGTGCGCAGCGTGGAGATCGCAACAGAGCGAGCGGCTCGGTCAGCCCCACGGCAGGTAAAGGACGGGCTCGAGCCTCGAGGGGGTCGGGGAGTGGGTGTGTATGATGGGGATGTGTCTCTGAGGTCGCGCCCCTCCCTCCCGAAAGAGCGCCCGCGGGGGGGCGGGGGAGCGCGGCCGGGCCCTCGCCGAGGGAGCTAGCGGAACGGGCGACACCAGCGCAAACGCAAGCGGCGGCTGTCAAGATGCAGCGGGCGAGGCGGACGACGCCGCCCTCTGGCACCGACCCGTGGCGCCGCCCCTCTAGCGCCGCCAGGAGCGCTCTGGGTCGCCTTTGCCCTCGTCGCGGCGCGGCGGCGGACCGTCGCGGCGCGGCGGCGGCCGGTCGCGGTCGTCGAAGCCACGGCGAGGCGGCGGGCCGTCGCCTTTGCCGCCCGCGGGGCGGCCGTCCTCGAAGCCGCGGCGGGGAGGGCCGCGCTCGTCGAACCCGCCGCGCTGCGGCGGGCCGCGGTCGCCTCCTCCAAACCCGCCCCGCTGCGGCGGGCCGCGCTCGTCGCCGCCACGGCGCATCTCCCCAAAGTCGCGCCCGGGCGGGCCATCACGGCGCGGCGGAGGGCCTTCGCGCGGCGGGCCGCGGTCGCGCGGGTCGGAGGTCCACCTGCAGAGGGAGGCTCCCGACACGCTTCGTGCGGGGGGGGCGCCGCTTCACGGTGCGGGTGTCTGGCCGCTCTCTCCACCTGTCGCCGCCGCGCGACGGCGGGCCATCGGCGGGCCGCCCTCCCAGAGGATGCCGCTCCCACCCCTCGCCGTCGGGGTTCGGGGGGCGGTCGCGCCGCTCAAACGGCCGCGGCCGCGCGTCGCCGCCGGGGGGGGCGCGCTCCTCCGGCTTCGGCTTGGCCTCGAACTTGTCGCCGCCGAGCGCCTGTTCGCAGCTGCACGTGTGAAGAGACGCTGTTCACAGCTCCGGCTTGTCGCCGCCGACCGCCTTGGCCATCTGCAGGTCGGGGAGCTCCTCGTCGTCGTCGTCCGCCGCCCAC